GGGGTATTTGAGGCACTGTTAGCCGATTGTGGAGGAAAAGATTTTATAATGGTGCTGGATTTATTGGGTGTCCGAGTGGCTGAGACAGCAATTGGATTTGCATTTGACTTAGACACATGCTTAGGCTTACTAGGGGTTGCTGGGTGAGTTGATAGAGGCGTGTTTATACCAGGCGTGATGGTTTGTTTAAAGAGGTCAGCATTAAAAGTAGTCGAACTCCCTACGGAATTGACTATGCCGTGACTTGCAGATGCCGCAGGTGGTGTTGTAGAGGACTTATTTAAACTTACAGTAGGTGTCATTATCTTGGTGTTGGTTTTTACCGATTTTAGTTTATTCAGTCTTCGCTGCAGGGGTGTGAGGTTTGGCGAATCGGAGCAGCGCCATTTACGGCAGAATTCTCTAGTCATCTCCCTACTCGACAAGATAAAATCGACTTCTATCATGGAGAAAAGGGTAACTAGTATCGGCGCATTACGACTAAGCGAGTGAAGCCGCTTAGCTTGTGCGACACTAAAACTCAAGCCGCAACTTTGTAGGAACACATGCGCTCCCTCCATAGCAGATAAGTGGCTCGGAATGTTTCGCAGTACGAAATTATGCTTGCGTTTAATTCGTTCCTCATTTTCCGAACTTATTACCCCAATAAGTGTAAAAGCTTGTTCAAGCACTTTTTCAGAAGTGCTGTTTATGTCTCCATAAATCAGCTGATCGATTATTTCGCCGGCTGATGGCCTGCTACGACTAGCAGAGGCGTATTTTTGGACGACTGAAGGGTCGAGAGGTTCTACATGTACTAAAGGGATTTGTGAGTTAATCAGATCTGCAGACGGCGAAGAACATACGCTGGCGTCTGCCATGTCTTTAGTCACGATTTTAGCACCCAGAGACGGTGGGGGGGCCGCAAGCTTTCGCCTTTTAGCACGTGCTCTGCGGGGCATTACAGACAAAAAAAGTTTTTCGTTACAGAAGAAGGATCAAAACGTTGCCAACTTACGGAAAAGCGCACTGAATAGCAAATATTACTGTTTTTTAACTACAAAAACTAGAAAGCGGTAGTAGGGGAAGGATTCACTACAATGGATTTTTTTACAAAATACGAATATTTTGCCAGACTGTCAAACAAAACTGGGAAAAATTTTACCTTATATAGAAAGGCGACTTTTAAAACGGACTTAAGTAAAAAACAGGCATTAATTACTTAAGAATATCCAGATAAATGCAGAGCTTCACTTATCTTTGAAATTGAGCTTATAAAAATTACTTATATAATAGTAAGAGCCGGAGGTGGAAAATTAAGCTGTTGGAACGAAGCAATTGTTGGAGGAAAAAGTTGCTGCGGTCTAAAATTTATGGGGTAATTACTAGCTAGAGGTGCAGCATTAGGTGGAAAAACATTTGAGGAGGACCCAGGAAGAGGAAAACTATTTTGTTGGTTTGGAAAAATAGGAGACAAGAAAATAGGATTTTGGGAATTGTTAGCATAATATGAGGGGTAGTTTATGTTAGGTGGCGGACGTAATGGTTTCGGGAAACAGTTAACATCAGGAAAGGGCTTTATTATTTGGGGTGTCAGACTAGCAATGGGATTGGAAAATTTAGCAGCAATGCAATATACTTGCATTTTGCAGTCTGATGTGTAAGAGGGCTCCACAACTGTGGCGTTAAGTTGAGAAATCAGGATAGGAACAGGTAAATACCTCCCTGAACTTTCATCTAGCTTATTTGACCTAACTGCAAGGTCAGACCTGAGTGGCCAGGCGTGGGAACGGGGTGGATTCGATGTAAGTTTTTTAACCAAATCACTATTCTGAGTGCTGGGAGCCGGTTGTGCTTCAAGGAGAAAATAATTGACAGTTCCCGCTTCACTGAATAAGTAAAGAAACAATGATTCGCTCTAATTCGGCGCTCATTGAGAGAAATATCAGTATAGCATGGTTGTATCATAGCATGAAGCTGAGTGACAAGTGGAATCGAATGCGTACCCGATCCAGTGAACCTGTTGTGTGTGCTCAGCTGTGGATTATCACATGCACAGACCTGCCGATTGTAGGATGGGTTGTAACCGCCGAGTTTGGGATATTGTGGCCGGTTAAAGGGGCCGGATCGGTTCTGGTTACCGGTGTCATTTCGCCGCCAGTTTTGTCCTTGGGAATTCCTGAAGGATGGTTGGGGGAGAGTTCAGTATGTGGTATTTTAGCATATATGTTGACGCGGTCAATGGCTTCCTTTAAGTTACGGGGCGGTTGTAGGAGTAGTGAACGCCGTAGTTCTGGGGGTTCTATATACTTAATAAAGTGATAGAGTACAGCATCGCTGCAATCCGTCTGGGAGATGGAGGGGTACGCCGATTTGCACAGTCGGTATAACTCGTCCGCAAACTCATTGGCGGTTTCTCCAATTCGCCGTCGTCGTGAATACAGTTGGTTTAGTGCCTCGGTTTCTGACATCGCGGGTTTAAGGAGTTTCTCTAACTCCTGACATAGGTTACCAACCGGAGTCTCGGCGGACAATCCGGCATCCAATGCCCTGTCTAACTGGTTGGGCGTCAAGCACTGTAAAATTGCCATGCTCTGCTTGTCGGTGGGGACTACTCGCTCTCAGCTGGACGTGATGGGCACGGACCACCAACCCCGAGGAACGCAGTTCACTGCTGATCTCAGCCACAAATAAGCTAGATACTGACATGTTGACACGCTGTGATGGATGTCGAGAACTCACCACCCGAGTTTTGAAATAAGAAGTAGACGTCGATCTCCTCACTGAAATAATAGCGTCAATTCTTACGTATAACAAAATTAATCCCCCCTGAACACAATACAAAGGACATATGTATGTATGTATGTATGTATGTATATTGAAGGGTTACAGGCAGAGCCCTTGATGACCCTATTTATGTACAGTGCTTTCGCAGATTCATACTCAAAAATAAAATCAAATTGCAGGCATTTAAAATGTGATTGGGTCACAGTTCAATCGTAATCATAAGGTAGTGCATGGGGTCACTGTAAATTAGTGCGCAAGATTGTATATGACAGATTTTACAAAACTGGCTGTGCATAGTCATGCTGTACAAGCCGATTTCTGTCGAAAACTAGACGAGCAAGTTTTCTTTTAAACACACAAACTGTGTCAGCCGTCACCATCTCGCTTGGAAGCGAGTTCCACGGCCTGACAACCCGCTGGCTGAAAGAAAATTTTCGTCGGTCTAAACGTGTTCGCTCATTCCCGACATGATCATGGCCTTCAGGATCGTCTGAGGTCTAGACTGTGCTCTTCAGTTTGACGACTTCTTCGAACTGGCGCGGACGACAAATCTTCGATATCACCAGTACAAATTGCGGATAATATGTCAAACGTGAAGTGCGGGACCAATTCTTCTCCCACTGGTTGGTTGAAGGGGTGTACAAATTGCCGAACTTCGTTGTCTTAGCAAAAAACGTTGAAACCTTCAAAAGAGGACTAGATAAATTTATGATTGATGGTTAAACATTTACGCGACATCAATGACCGGCATGACAGTTCGACCATCGATTTCGATGATGTCCACCGTGTGCCCAACAGTTGCAGCAGCAATGGGAACAGGGACGCTGACTTGCTCAGGGGTTTATAGTGCCAGTAGACTTGCGCAGCATCTACCTGCACTCTCTCCTCCTCCCCCGCCTGGGCCCGGTGTCAAGACAGAGTCAAGAAGACCGGAGACGAGAGAGGCCGCAGGTGGATGGCTCGGACGGATCCTTACCTTGGCGCTCCACCACAACCCCTGGTCCACACAACAAATGACCAAAATTTCAACCAACACAACAAAGATTTGGAGGATGGCACGGTCGAAGCCGCACCTGGGCGTGCCGCCAACGCCTGGCTCGGATCCCACACTGTGGTGAGAGTGCCATAAAGGCCATATTAAGAAGGAGCCATTGCAGCCTGACTCTCAGACCGCCTCCAGTCAAGGAGGAGGTCCAGGTTACCCCGTCAGTTGGCAACTTTCCAAGCCACGACTTTTAGCGCACCGTGATAGCTTCAAGCGCGTCAGATTGTTTATAGTGAGGTGGAAGTGCGCTGAGTCGTCGACCTCACTGTCCCTTCCCACCCCCACACCTCAGCCGCTGTCCGAGCCGGTCAGCAGACTGGAGTGGGAAATGGGCGCGGTGGCTGTCATGGTCGACTGACCATGACTGCGCGCGCCACGGCACGACCTGGCCCCTATACACACACAAACACCAGGATTTCACACAACAGGGGTTGAACGGCGTGTCCCTCACTTGCGTGAGAGTGCCGTGGAAGGTGCTGTTTCAGTCCGTCCCCAGCCCACCAGTCCGCCATTCCACACAACACACACACAACGCGACGAACTGCGTGAACCGAGAGCGGGCGTCAATCAGCAACCTTCCTATCCACGACGCTTGACGTGTCGGGATAGTCTCGGACTCAAGTCACCCGTGCAGCCGAAGTCGCATGGGGACCTTGTCGAGATGCGGACTTCCTACTTGCGTGGGAGGTGGCAGTTGGGTGCATGAGGTGTGTGAGTGTTGATGTCTAGGGGGTGATGGTGGTGTGAGGTGGGGAGTGAGTGAATGTGTGGTGTGACTGGCGGTTGTCTACCGCAGGTCGTCGTGGATTCGCATGTGGCTGAATAGGCCCATGCGATGCCTGAAAGTGCGGGGACAGTGTGGGCAGTTGAGACGAGCTTGGGGGTATAGGTGGGTGTTTCAGGCACTGGTTCGCCAGTCTCTGTGCGATGGATTCGCAAGTGACCGACCAGGCCGATGCGTGAGGTGAATGTGCGTGGACAGTGTGGGCATGAGAAGTCGGCGGTGTCAGTGTCAGCTAAAGAGGAGGCGGTGGTGGTGGTGGTGGCGCAGACGGATGGAGCGAGGGTGGGGGTGTGCACGGTGGATGTGTTGGATGTCGTGGCTGTATCGGAATTGTGGTCAATTCTGCTCTCGTGGATGCGCATGTGGCCGAATAGACCCATGCGACGAGTGAAGGTGCGAGGGCAGTGTGGGCAGTGGAGGTGAGTGCGGTGAGTGTAGGTTGGTGCTTCAGGCACTGGTTCGCCAGTCTCTGTGCGATGGATTCGCAAGTGACCGACCAGGCCGATGTGTGAGGTGAAGGTGCGATCGCAGTGAGGGCAGGTGTAGTCCTGATTCTCATTGCTTGAGTCGGGAGAGGCGGGGGTGGTGCCGGTTGTTGTGACGCGGTTGGTGATGTGCGAGACGCCTGCCTGAGCGGCCGCAGTTGGGGCAGTGGTGGCGGAGGAGTAGGAGGAGGAGGAGGAGGAGGAGGAGGGGGAGGAAAAGGCGGTGGAGGAGCAGGAGGACGAGGAGGAGAATGAAAGTGGTGGTGCAGAAAAATTGTCAGTGTTAGTTGGCGGCAGAGAGGACGTGGATGAGGCGGACGGGGGGAAGAAGTTTGGTGCAGTTCGAGAGTTACAGATGATCCGACGATGTCCAACAAGTCCGATTCGAGCCCGGAATGTCCGCTGACATCGAGCACACGTTGGAAGCGGTTGTGCGGCGGCGTTGCTGACTGGGCGCAGTTGGGGTTTGCGGGTTTCGCGTTTCGCTTTGGCGGCGGCGATACGGTTGGCTTCGTGGATAGCAGCGCCCGTTTTTACTGTCCTCCTCCAGGTCGGTCGATCGAGTGCGAGCTCCTCCCAGTTGGTGGGGTTGATTCGCAGTAGCGTGAGGGAGGTCTTCAGGGTATCCTTGTGTCGACGAATTGGGCCTCCTTGACGACGAGAACCCGTCGCGACGTCTCCGTAGAAGAGACGTTTGGGTATTCGCTCGTCGTATATGCGCACCAGGTGGCCGCTCCAGCGCAGCTGCATTTGTCTCCACATGGAGTTGATGCTGAGCATTTCCGTTCGTTCCAGCACATCGGTGTCGGGGATGCGATCCTATCAGTTCAGCTTCAGGATGCGACGAAGACAGCTGAGGCAGAAGTGGTTCAGACGGCGTGCCTGCCTCGTGTACACCGTCCAGGTCTCTGCTCCATACAGTTGCGTCGGCAGGATGACGGCCTTGTACATCTTCAGCTTCGTGTTCAGTTGAAGACCGTGACGATTCCAACCAGTGTTTTGGAGACGACCGAAGGCTTGGCTGGCTTTCGAGATCCTGTTGGCGACTTCGTCATCAATCTTGGTGTTGCGGAAGAGAGTACTGCGCAGATACGGGAAGTTCTCCACCACTTGAAGTTGGGTCCCATTCACGCTGATTTGCAGCGGCGCGTTGGGGGCTGTGGCTGAGTTGGGTGGCGGTTGGTGCATCACCACCGTCTTCTGCGTGTTGATGACCAGATTGAAGTTCTCGCAGGCGGTGGAGAACAGGCCCATGCTCCGTTGAATCTCCTCTTCCGAGGTGGTGTTCAGGGCGTAGTCGTCGGCGAAGAGGAGTTCGTGAACGGTGGTTGCGGATACGCGCGATTGGAAGTGCATCCGCCGTTGATTCAGCAGGTGACCATCCGTCCTGTAGGCGATGCGGATCCCGGGACGTTCATCACGGTAGGCGTCCATCAGCATGGCAGAGAACATAAGACTGAAGAGGGTTGGTGCCAGCGAACATTAAGTTTTTGTGGGTTAGAAGACTCGAAGCTGGCCTTTGCCTCCTTTTTCGCATCAACTCTAGCTCCAGTCTTCCGCACATTGACACTCTCACTCCGAGAGATCGGTCTTATGCCACGCGCATCTCCTGCATGATGATTCCGCCGCCGCCTCTTTGTACTACATCTAAGCGCTCCCTCTTCTTTGCTTCCAAATATGCCCTCCATTGGAATAATCTTCCGCCTGAAATTAGATTATCGCCTAAGTTACTGATATTCAAGTCGAAATTACGCAACCATCTTACACCGGAAAGCATAAAGGCACTGTTAACGGTCTCATTCCCGAACACTCAGATTCTTGACTTCAAGAAGGGTCCTCCTGGGATTTAGTGGTAGATTAAGTGGTAACTCTTAATTATATCATGAGAAACCCCTGTTTTGAATTGGTTTCTAAATCCATTGCTATCCTTCCCCCCCCCCCCGATAGCGACAATTTTCGCGGTTTTTGATGTCATCTCCCGCATTCCGATCTCATGCGGTCTGTCGACGCTCACGGCGGAACCCTCAGTATTCACTGTCTACTAGTAGTTCGGTCGTACCTCCCTTCCTCACTGCTCGGCTGAGCTCGAAGCGTGCTGTGGCCGATCGCATCTCGGTTCCTCTCGTCTGGCCTCTTTGACGCGGCGTACCAATCCGGCCCAGACGATCTCAATTGTGAATCCCGTATACAATGCCATTTGCAAGCCAGTCCTGTCTGACCCACATTCGTACCCATCAAGGCTGACATTTATTGCTACCCTGACGATGACCGACAACATTCCGTTATATACCGCCACCTTCAGGCCAGTCCTGCTCGTTTTTTTCTGTTATTATTTTTATGGAGGGATTTTTTTCTCCTGTAAAATTAATCCAATCATTTTTAACTTTTTGTAAGGAGTTTTTTTTCACCCCTCAATCATCATGTTTCTCAATGGACTTCTAATTTAGAAACTAGGAATTGCATTTTGTAAAGATTCGGCCTACCTCGTCTAAAACTCGCATGCAAATTTATTTTAACTTGCTTTGATGCGACCCCGACGGGTCTTTAATAAAAATAATCTATCTATCTATCCCTGCTTCATTCCGTTGGTCACTGCGAATGCCTCTGAGACAGCTCCGTTGTCCGTGACTCGCGCCATCATACCGTCGTGCAGCTGACGCACTATCTGAGTGAATCGCTCCGGACAGCCGAATTTCTGCATGATCTTCCACAGTCCTTCACGATTCACCGTATCGAAGGCTTTCGTCAGGTCCACGAAGGTAGAGTACAGTTGGGTCCGCATCTCTTGACACTTCTCCTTAAGTTGGCGGGCGGCGAAGATCATATCCATGGTCCCACGATGACGACGGAAGCCGCATTGGCTTTCCGGCAGAAGGCCCTGTTCCAGATGGTTATTGAGGCGGTTGAGCAGGATGCGAGCGAAGATCTTCCCGGCGATGTTCAGCAGGGAGATGCGGAGGTGATTGTCGCAGATTTGGCGATTTCCTTTTCGCTTGTATAGGTGCACGATTGTTGCGTCTTTGAAGTCTTGCGGTACTTCGCCTTGACGCCTCATCTCCTGGAAGAGCGCAGTCAGGTGATCCATCAGTTGGGGACCTCCGTGCTTGTAGACCTCAGCAGAGATCGCATCCGATCCGGGTGCTTTCCCGCTAGAGAGCTGCTGCACGGCCCTGATCGTTTCCTGGAGAGATGGCGGGAGGTTGAGGTCCACATTGGTCTCCACTTGCGGCAAACGCGCGATGGCGGCGTCGGAGATGCGAAAGGGCGGTCGAGGACGCCTCGAAAATGCTCGGCCCATCGCTGCAGGATTTGCGTCTTCTCAGTGAGGAGAGTACTGCCGTCGGCGCTATGGAGAGGAGCAGTGCCCTTCGTCGGCGGACCGTAGACAGCTTTGATCGCAGAGAAGAAGTTCTTCCATTCGTTGCGGTCCGCGTAGCCTTGGATCTCCTCAGCTTTGCGAGCAGTCCAGGCGTCCTGGCATAACTGCTATGTAAATATCTGCATGTTCTTATCATAGTCTATTTTTAAATAGGGTTTTCCAAGGCTCCGCCTATATCCCTCAAATATACTGAATTATGCTGAATAACATCCACGTCAACATGAAGGGACATCAACAGTAGCTGCCTATCGGCATATTTCATGGACCCATTGAAAAGGAACCTCCAAATTCTCCGAAACCCCTGAAAAGGGGAAGAGGGCTCGCAGGGATATTTAACTCCCTAGCTTTTAAATAATACCAGTGTTATTCAGGATGCTACATAAAGTTGTATTTGGTGTTTGAATAATAAGATAGGCAGTTATAATAATAATTTATTTAATGCCAGTTTACAGGCATTGTCAAGGGAAGCGGCTAAACACAAATCCGACCTGAGGTAAAGGAATAAAAATATAGTTGATGGTGGTTTTCATGGTTTGGAGGGTTAAGGAGAAAAAACTGCTGGCGGCAGACATTCGACCGTCGAAAAGGGGGGGGGAAAGTTGCACGGTATCGGATATTATCGGACGTCAATTCCTTTCACGAAGTTTGGAAGAGTCAAAGTTGAGGCGTTGAGGAACAGCTGTCGCTGCTGGCCAACGAAATTGTCCATGGTGAGACCGGCCATACTGTTCAGAGACCACAAACTCCATCGCTACGGTAGAGTCAATCAGCGGATTCAGCAACCAAAATTTGAGGAAGCTTTACTGAATGCAAAAATCGAGTAATAGTTCTCTTAAATAAAGGATAATTTTGCAGAGTTTTAACACTCATGGGTAGTTTATTCCAAATAGCAATTGCATTTACAGAAAGGAACCGACGATATTTAACAGTAAGTGCCAGAGTCAAAAATAAAAAGACCTCACGGTGACTGTTACGCCGTGGATGGATATGATTTCTTAAAGAGGTGAGTGGGTTAAGTGTGTGGTTATATAAGAGTTTAAATAGCAAAAATAGTCCCTTTTGAAATCTACGGAACCATAAGGGATCAAGGCCCGTAAGTCGGCAACGTTCTTAGTAAGACAAATGTCGGTGTTCCGGGATTAACATTCTTTTGGTAAAAAAGTGTTGAACGGATTCTATTTTCTTCCGCTCAGTAGCACGCATGAGGCTAAATAAAAACGAACAGTATTCCAGACCAGGTCTAACGTATATATTGTAAAGGCGCATTCTGATGTCCCTAGTTTTAAAGTTTCGGAGGATAAACCCGGTCGTTCTGCGTGATTTATAGACTATCAAGGCACAGTGCTCCGAGAGATTGAGACTCTTGGAGTATGATACGCCCAAATCCTTTATAACCCCTGACAAATTTATTGAGTGACCTTCAATACTTAGTTGAGATTGGCGGTCGTCGCCAACCACCATGACTGAGCACTTACAGAATAAAATAGAATATTCATTGATATTTTGGCAGATTTTGAATAATTCATATTGACCCAACTGTGAAAAACTCGGCGCCTAGGTGGGATTCGAACCCACGCAGTAAGGGGGATTCCAGACGTTGCAGTTGGTTGGGCGGGTAACTTGACCCAAGTGTGATAAAACTCGCGTCGTCCGGCGGGGCCTCGTAGCTCAGGTGGTTAGAGCGTTGGTAGTACTAAAGCCTTCCCCCTACTGCGTGGGTTCGAATCCCACCAAGGCGCCGAGTTTTTCACAGTTGGGTCAATATGAATTAAAATAGAATATGTTTATTATAGCGCCCCTTGTGCACTGTCAGTCTCCTTTGAACTCGGGAAAAAACCTAAAACAAAGAGAAAGGCGCCATGTGCGGCACCACTGAGCGAAAGCCTGTAGATCGCTCTTTAGGAGCTCAAGCACGATGTCATGATCTGCCGGCTTATATGGATATGCAACGTTAAGATCATCGGCATACATGAAAGGCCTACCATTCTGAAATAAATCGGGTGCATCATTAACGAAAAGGCAAAATAAAAGCGGGCCAAGTACACTACCCTGAATGACTCCACTCCTCACACGTGTGGGGTTGGAGATAGTATTGGAAACCTTAACTCCTTGTGTACGAGTGCCCAAATAAGAGGATATAAAATTCAAAAGTTTGCCACCTATTCCGAAAGAGGACAGTTTCAGGAGAAGAAGAGCATGGTCAACACGATCAAAAGCCCTAGTGAAATCGAAATAAACTATGTAAAGTGCGAAACCACGGTCCCTAGATTGGAGAACATAGTCAAAGAAAGAGAGTTGACAGGTGTCACAAGATCGAGCTTTGAGGAATCCATGCTGAGCAACACTCAGTAAGTTGTTCGCTGTTAAGTGACACATCATCTTATCCTTGATCAATGTCTCTAAGATCTTCGAAACTGCAGGGAGGATGTTTATTGGCCGAAAGTCATCAAATGATGTAGGTTTGCCGTGCTTAGGAATGGGCAAAATGTGTGCTTCCTTCCACAAGATAGGATAGGTTTCAGTTTCAAGAGCAAGATTAAATATCTTGCACAAGAGGTATGGGAAGATCGTGTTTGCATCGGCTTTTAAAATCCTTACTGGGACACCATCAGGGCCTGGTCTATAAGATTGACGAAAACGCCGAATCGCAACAGTCACATCCCACAGAGTGAAAGTTATAGTTTCTGGAACTGCCCCGGCCAATGACTGGATGGTCGGAAGCGGAGTGGTCGAGTCTTCAATGAACGTTTTGGACAGCAAATCATTAAAGCTATCAGCGATTAACTGGGCATCAACGATGGGATTTCCGAGAGCGTCTCGGAGTATAGGATGCTGCGTCTTTCGGTGAGTTCGTATTTTTCTAGAGAAAAGTTTCCAGACATTTATGAGCGTTTTTACAGTGGTCTGTTGAAGCTAGGCGGCGAGAGTAAGTGCTCGGAGCGCTAAAACCACCAGGTCGAGCCCCAAGTTGTAGGGGAGGACGGAGGGTATCAGAATGAGGGGTTGAATGTAGACATAATCCAGAATTGAGCCCTCAGGCGGCAGTGGCCATTGGCGAAGCCCGGACTGGTGT